TAAATTTTCCAGCAATATATAAAAAATGAAATTATTATTATATATATTATATATAACAAATAAAACTAACTGTTACATTTTAACATAAAAGTTAAGAATTGAATTTTCAGAGGAAAAGGTAAATTTATTAATTATAAATGGAGATTTTTTATAAGCTCTATTGATTATCACTAAATTTTAAAATAATTGAGAACTTTTAATAATTTTCTTATAAAAAACTTACTTGTCATTCATGGGTTTTAAATCAAATTTTTCCTCTATCAAATTTGATTCRCCCAATGGTGGCTTATTATCAGACAAGAATTGAATTTGTCTGATAGAGTTCGATAGTTTCAGTTGCAGCATATCACGTTCTTCTAATAACTACAAAGTTATACATACACATTAAATAAAAATATAGAATTGGTACATGAATTAACTTTTAAATCATTTACCCGGGTTAATTCTAAAGTTAGTTCGTTACATCGAACATCTCTTTCGTGAACAGCTGTTAATGCTCTGTCAAGTTTCTCTTGTACTAATCTTATATCATCAACATTTCGATTTAAATTATCTAATTTTGATATTTTGACAGAAAGAAATTCAATTAATCGATCACGCTCAGCAATGGACCTCTGTAGTTGTTCATTTTCTACATTTTTTAATAAGGAAGATTGTATTGCTTCTTCACTTGAATTTACAGACTCATTTATTGATGATTTTTCAGGGGAAAATGAATTAGTATCTTGAACTGCATGATCTTGAGATAATTCTGTATGCATTTCATTGGTGGATTTATTATTTTTAAGAGATATTAATTCTAATAATGTTTCTGAGCACGATTTTAAGTCTGATATTAAATCAATTAGTACATTACTTGAAGAAACTTCAACACTGGATGCATTAGTTAAAATAGATGAAACTAATTCATGAATAGTTTGAACATAAGTTTGTAATTGTTTATCTTCCAAATCTCCTAACTTATAACCATCAATACTGTTACAAGACCTAGCATCAACTATTTGATCTAATTTTTTTGATTGAACAACTACCCAATCAGAATCATTTTCAATAGGTGGCCATTCAGAAAACACCCTTGAATAAGCTGAATCAATTAAACGTTGGATTTCATTCAATTTTCCTTTTAAAACTGTATTTTGTTCATTAATGTGAACATAAGTTGTATCTGTATCATTCAAAGGATTCTGGTCATCCAAATTACTTTTAAGTTGATCATAATCATTTTGCAATATTTCATGTTTTTCCTTAAGTGCTGTCAATTGACGGTAGGCTTCAAGTTTTTCACTCATGAGATTTTCAATTTCTGACTGACAATGGATTATATCTGCTTCATGAATTTCATTTTCATTGGAATATTGATCATTTAATTGCTTGAATTTGGAATTTGCACATTCCAAATCATTTGTCAAGTTGCAAATTGTTTTTTCTAAGTCAATGGTTTTAGCACGGCATTCTTTGAACCGAGTTTTCAAATTTTTATAGCGAACTTGTAATATCTTTGAATCACCATTTTCTGTGGAAGTGGACATTTTAAAATTATTCTTTAAACATATATCTTCAGACGCTTTTTTCTTATTTTCATCAGTTTGTTCAAAATTTTCTACAGTTTGAACCAATGCATTTTGTGTGCTTATATTTGAATATTTATTAGACTGCCAATCAGTAGATTGTTCCAAAGTTTTCAATGAAAGCAATCTTTGATTTTCATTTAACTGATTTTTTAACAGATTATTTTCATTTTTTATTTCCTGTACATGGAACTCAAGTGAATTTAAAATCTTAATTATCTCTCCATTATCTCTCTCATCAGTAATAACTAAACCCAAATCTTTTTGGATGYTTTTTAAAAATTGTTTAAATGTATCATTTTCATTTTTTATACTTTTTGCATCTATATATTCAARAGATAGTAGACTGCTTACAGCAGGACCATTTAAATCTGTTAATACTTCTTTATTTTCTAAAGTACCAGAAGACATATTTAATTTTAATGCATAATTATCATTTTGTAAGTTTTCAATTACTTTTAGTAGTTCATTATTTTTTTTATGATATTCATGTTGTGTGGATAATTTAACTTTTTCTACAGCTTCAGATACAAATTTTTCAACTTCATTGCGGTCAATTAATTGTGCCTTTGAACGCTTATGAGAATCATTTAAATTTACAATATATTCTAAAATATAAATAGAACCAAAAACTATTTTTTTAATACAAATTTGCAGTTCATTATCATCTAAAATGGAATTATTGCAAATTGAATCGACTGCTTCAATTAAGTCAACATCAACCTCAAAACTAAAATTGTCAAAAGAAAATAATGATGCCAGACCAATCAAAACACAACGTAATATATGTATGTTGTGAGTTTGTAAATTTGATTTGACTACAATTGTATTTAATAATTCATAGCAGTTTTGAAGTTCTTCATCACAGTTTCGTATAATAGTACTTATTTGTTTGTTACTTTGAATAACATATGCTAATCTCTGATTYAAAACATTTATTTCTTTATTTAAGGAAGCTACTTGCTGCTGTAAAAGAGAACAATTACTTTCAGATTCTTTTAAAGCTTTGATTTTTACTTTTAGTAGTTGTTTTTGTTTTTGGTATCGATCTGATAATAATTTATTATCTTCCATTGTTACATTGGTTCCCTTTAATTTATCTGAAAGCATACTATTCTCTTTTTTAACAAATTCCAACTCATTAGTTAATTGAGTAGAMAGAGTATGAAATTCTGTAATAGTATTTTTCAGTTTAAATAACTCTATATCTTTTTTACTAACACAATCACTAAACTCTAAACGTTCACATTTAAATAAATCATTTTCTTTTAAAACAATGTTTAATTGATTGGTTAATTCATTTACCGACGTAATACTCTCTTTAAGTTTGTTATTACAACTTGTAATTAAAACTTGATCATCTTCATGTTGTCGAATAAATTGTTTTTTATTTTGTTCATACTCATCTGAAGATTCTTTCATAGCTTTTTCGAATGTTTCACGCATATTTTCTATAACTGCCATCAAGTCAGAGATTTGTTCTTGGTACGAGTCATTTTCAGCTTTTAATAACTTAACATTTTCTACAGATTTTTCAATTTGCTCAGTTAATTTAACATTAGTCTCATTCAACTCATTGTTATTCATTTTTAATTCATCTATAACTTTTTCCAAAAGAGCCATGCGTTCTTTATCGTTGAGATATGCATCTTTTAACTGAATCCAACGATTTTCTGTCTGCTGAGCATCTGTTATTTGATTTTGAAGTTGTTGGTTTAATTTTTCGTTTTCAAGATTCAAACGTTGAATCTCTAATTCTTTTTCTACAAAAAACCAAAACAATTAGTTWAACAATTTTTTTAAATCTAAATTTCAATGAATATAATACTATATAAAATAAATAATATAACTCTGGGGAAGAGAAATAAATTATATACATGTAATTATGTAATAGAAATAAGTATGGTAAATCTATTTCATGGGAAGTTGGCTAGTTTTTATACATTAATTGTAAGGCTTATTGCTCTTATAGCAATAAAAATTTAATAAAATACTGGAAAACATATTCAAAAATTATAAGAATAGAGATTATTTTGCTAAAATAATTTTAAATTTGTATGTATGTAAATATGTATTCTTTTGTAATTGAAATATGTTYTTAGAAATTTCAAAATAATAAAACTCAGTAAAATATCATATGTAAATAAAGATAAAGAAAAAATTGTTCAGGTAGTAGTTTAGTTGTATACTTAAAAAATAAATATAATACTTACTGTCAAGTTCCATTAATAAATTATCATTCTCTTGCAAATGTACTGATTTGCTTTCCGTCATAGCTATTTGGTTAGATAATAAATCATTTTCTTGTTGTAAGCTCAGCAATTCTTTTTCCATATCTAACACATATATTTTATTTTTACAAACAACATGATTAATTAATAATTATAACACTACATCAAAATACAACTCACCACCGATAAGATGTTTTGAAGTTTCTTGATTGTGTTTAAGAATTAATTTTTTCTAAAAAAAGATTTTTTATTAGGTTAATAATTATTAATATTTTGCGATCTTTAAAATTTTTTTTTAACATATTAAGGTTTTTTTTTAAATATTAAACTGTTATTTGATACTTAATAATAATATTTGATATGTTTAATTTTCTCTCTAGATAGAACTAAAAAATACCATACTTTTAATATACAGTGTCTCTAAATACCGAAGACTCTCGGTTAAAGGCTATTTCTTAAGTATAACATGACACTACTTTTCATATAATTTATGAATAAAAAAATATTAAATTAATAAAAATTTCATATATTTTTACTATCTTTATCACAAAATATTTTATCTTATCAAAAACGGAAGAAAATATTTAAGTTTCATAAAAGATGTATTCATTCTAATTTTTTAAGCTAACGGAGTAAAATTTGAACTGCTGAGCATAAAATTGTTATGTTACGTGTTTGTAAAACTGAGACAACAATACATATTTACTCACCTCGTTTTCATAACTTGTATGTAATTCTTCTATTTCCGATTTTAAACTTATTACCTTTTTTTTTAGTTCAGAATTTTCTTTATCAATTTTAATGTTTTTTTTTTTTAATTTATCACAAAGTCGGTGAACATCTTCTAAGCTAAATAAAAAATAAATGTAGTACGTAGTATGTAAATCAACTAATTAATTCTAAAGTTAATTTTTATTTTGTACTAACTTATTTTTTAATTCTTCTGATTCTTCTGCAATATGATTGACTTTTTGAGTACATCTTAAACGTTCTTCATTGATGACTTCAATGTTTTTTTTTTTTAATGCTTCCACAGTTTCTAAATGTGATTTTTTGGTTTGTGCTATAGCTTTGTTTAATGACTCAATTTTCTCAATTTTTAATTGCAATAACATATCTTTTTCAGTAATATTATTCTATTTTGATAAAAAAAAATTAAAAAGTAAGAAATAATTAACATTTTATAGTTATTAATTTACAGCARTACAACTTACACGGCAATTTTCAAGTTTTTCATTTAATTCAACAATTTGACTTTTTAAAGACTGTAGATTTTGTTCATGAAATTGTGCAGATATAATATCTTCCTGCAATATAAAAATGTTCTGTATTAAAATATTATATAATAATGAATGGAACACCATAAATTTGATATCTAGACACTATAAATTATGTAAGATTGCTAAGATCACTAGGTTTGTGTAAATCAACATGTTATTTTTTTGACTTTCTAAATAAGCTTTAGTTAGTTGAATTTATAATTTATATAGGTATATAAATGTAAATAGTACGACTTTTACTTTGAATATTCTACTAAAACAGCAGAACATTTATGTAATTAGCAATTGTAATAATTTAAATAAATAACTTTGATTATTTTGTTTAYTGGTCAAAAGTTGATTAACATCAAAGTTGAAACACAGATAAATACTACTTTTAATATTTKTGTATTTGATTTTCACAAGATTAAAATAAGAATGTTGAATTTTTGATGTCCCTGTTGTTATATTCAACTATACTGTCATTTCTATGAAAGAAATTATTTCAATCAGAATAATGGCTTCATYGAAACAAAATTATAATCAAAAATATGTTGTTGTTTATTTAAAACAATTATTGTATTTATTGTACTTAAATTACCATCAAATATGACTAAGAATAATAATTTWAAAAAAAATGCTTATTTAACATGTTCTCATTGCATTCAAATTTAAATTACTAATTGATTATTGATTTAACATAATACAGGCAATTTAAACATAATTCATTATCAATTAGACATATTATAATAAGTAAAGAAAAATAGAGGAAAACCAGAAAAGCTTAATGAATTACTAGTTCTAATTATTACTTGAGTTTCTACTARAACACTTAAYTTAAATACTTTAAAATGGAACTTYAAATTCTAATTAATTAAAAATAAAACTAAAACTACTAAAATATATAGAAAACTTACATAATATGTATTGGGTTTTTCTTTTTCATTTAATAAATTACCAGCATTGACTAGATCATCAATATTATGTTTTTGCTCATCTATTTTACTACTCTCAACTAACTTTCTGCAATGAAAATTAATAAATGTTACTAAAGTATAATACTCATACATTTAAAAATCAAAATAAAKGAGRTCATTCTATTGTATAACAAATATTGTGTGTACAATGTATGTTGTATATTGAATTACATTTTGCAAATCTATCACATTTATTAAATTATAATATAATAAKTAGTTATTATAGTATTATATCATTTATTATTGATATTAACTTATAAGTCAATACAAACATAATGTAGAGT